AGCACACGGTAACATCTGATCTACTCTGCTGCATTCAATCACATGATTCCCCATGTGGAATCTGGGCAAAGAGAATAGACCTACTGCTTCCCCCCCCCCCTTTCCCAACAAGCATGTCATACAAGGTGAGGAATTAGGGGTTTTCCCTTTTTCCTGGCAAGAAACCAACAGTCTGCACACAAGTAAACAAGCAAAATTCACATTCTGGAGCAAGACTAAAGTCCAGAATTGGATGAACAACCAGAACCTTCCTCGGAATTTACAGCTGATGAATAAAAATAAAGAAAATAGAAATCGCAGGATGATTATGTCCTACCTATGTTTTTAAAATGTTTGAAGAATCCAGTGTTTTGGCTGAAAGGCACAAATGTCACAACTATGCTGTAAACATGCACAGAACAGTTACCTCCAAAAAAATCAGGTGGATGAAGAAGAAGATGATAACTATGATGCTGTAATGGTATTTGCTCACATCCCAGATGAGTTCCAGGGGTCCCCATTTCCAGGAAAAAAGGAATAGGCCCACTGCCTCTTCCACCCACTGCCTCTTAGACCCACTGCCTCAGACCCACTGCCTCTTAGACCCTCTGCCTCTTAGACCCACTGCCTCTTAGACCACTGCCTCTTAGACCCACTGCCTCTTAGACCCACTGCCTCTTAGGTCCACTGCCTCTTAGACCCACTGCCTCTTAGACCCACTGCCTCTTCCACCCACTGCCTCTTAAACCCACTGCCTCTTAGACCCACTGCCTCTTAGACCCACCCACTGCCTCTTGGACCCAATGCCTCTTAGACCCACTGCCTCTTGGACCCACTGCCTCTTAGGCCCACGGCCTCTTGGACCCACTGCCTCTTGGACCCACGGCCTCTTGGACCCACTGTCTCTTAGATCCACAGCCTCTTAGACCTACTGCCTCCTAGACCCACTGCCTCCTAGACCCACTGCCTCTTAGGCCCACTGCCTCTTAGACCCACTGCCTCTTACACCCACTGCCTCTTAGACCCACTGTCTCTTAGACCCACTGCCTCTTCCACCCACTGCCTCTTGGACCCACTGCCTCTTGGACCCACTGCCTCTTGGACCCACTGCCTCTTAAACCCACTGCCTCTTAGACCCACTTAGAGCCACCCACTGCCTCTTGGACCCAATGCCTCTTGGACCCAATACCTCTTGGACCCACTGCCTCTTAAACCCACTGCCTCTTAGACCCACTTAGACACACCCACTGCCTCTTAGACCCACTGCCTCTTAGGTCCACTGCCTCTTAGACCCACTGCCTCTTAGACCCACTGCTTCTTTGACCCACTGCCTCTTACACACACTGCCTCTTAGACCCACTGTCTCTTAGACCCACTGCCTCTTCCACCCACTGCCTCTTGGACCCACTGCCTCTTGGACCCACTGCCTCTTGGACCCACTGCCTCTTGGACCCACTGCCTCTTGGACCCACTGCCTCTTCCACCCACTGCCTCTTAAACCCACTGCCTCTTAGACCCACTTAGACCCACCCACTGCCTCTTGGACCCAATGCCTCTTAGACCCATTGCCTCTTGGACCCACTGCCTCTTAGGCCCACGGCCTCTTGGACCCACTGCCTCTTGGACCCACGGCCTCTTGGTCCCACTGTCTCTTAGATCCACAGCCTCTTAGACCCACTGCCTCCTAGACCCACTGCCTCTTAGGCCCACTGCCTCTTAGACTCACTGCCTCTTAGACCCACTGCTTCTTTGACCCAGTGCCTCTTACACCCACTGCCTCTTAGACCCACTGTCTCTTAGACCCACTGCCTCTTCCACCCACTGCCTCTTGGACCCACTGCCTCTTGGACCCACTGCTTCTTGGACCCACTGCCTCTTGGACCCACTGCCTCTTGGACCCACTGCCTCTTAAACCCACTGCCTCTTAGACCCACTTAGACCCTCCCACTGCCTCCTAGACCCACTGCCTCTTAGACCCACTGCCTCTTAGACCCACTGCCTCTTATACCCACTGCCTCTTAGATCCACTGCCTCTTAGATCCACTGCCTCTTATACCCACTGCCTCTTGGACCCACTGCCTCTTAAACCCACTGCCTCTTAGACCCACTTAGACCCACCCACTGCCTTTTGGACCCAATGCCTCTTGGACCCAATACCTCTTGGACCCACTGCCTCTTAAACCCACTGCCTCTTAGACCCACTTAGACCCACCCAGTGTCTCTTGGACCCACGGCCTCTTGGACCCAGTGCCTCTTAGACCCACTATCTCTTAGATCCACAGCCTCTTGGACCCACTGCCTCTTAGACCCACTGCCTCTTAAACCCATTGCCTCTTAGACCCACTGCCTCTTAGACCCACTGCCTCTTGGACCCAATGCCTCTTGGACCCAATACCTCTTGGACCCACTGCCTCTTAAACCCACTGCCTCTTAGACCCACTTAGACCCACCCACTGCCTCTTGGACCCACGGACTCTTGGACCCAGTGCCTCTTAGACCCACTATCTCTTAGATCCACAGCCTCTTGGACCCACTGCCTCTTAGACCCACTGCCTCTTAAACCCACTGCCTCTTAGACCACTGGCTCTTGGGCCCACTGGCTCTTGGGCCCACTGGCTCTTGGACCCACTGCTTCTTAGACCCACTGCCTCTTAGACCCACTGCCTCTTAGACCCCCTGCTTCTTAATTCTTAATGTAGTAAAAGGAGACTAATTAAGGGTTCGCTGGAATCAATATCTTAGGCTGAAGGGCACAGATGTCACAGCCAGGCTCTAAATCAAAACACAATATGCCAGCCACCCTTTCAAGGCAAAAGCAGAACAAAAATAAGGAGGCCTTTGCTTGTTTTATTTTTTATTCATTTATTTAAACCGCATAGTAACTCAAACTAGTTTTTACATGCAGTTCAAAAACAGCCACCAAAATCTGGTGCACATAAAGCCGTAAGTGTGGAAAGTTCATCTGACGATGAAGACTCGGACAGTGATGAAGAAGTACCACAGCAGACCAAACAAATTTCACCAGCGAAGAAACAATCGGAAGTAAAACAACAGACCAAACAGATTTCACCAGCAAATAAACAATCAAAAGTACCACAACAGACCAAACAGATTTCACCAGCGAAAAAACAGTCGGAAGTACCACAACAGACCAAACAGATTTCACCAGCGAAAAAACAGTCGGCAGTACCACAACAGACCAAACAGATTTCACCAGTGAAAAAGCAATCAGGTAAATATGCAGTTTGAATGTTGAATTAGGAATCGACATCACATCACTTGGTACACCACCATAAGCGTCTTTCCAATCTTCAGCAACAAGAGAAGAGTTCTAATTCTGATGGTACCAGTAACTGCCTAATTGTATATCCGTCTCGCCCTTCACTTCAGTGTTGAGCGTCGACCAGATCTCCGATTAACTCCCCGTAGCGCCATTCTCCTCAGACCATAATTATCTGTTGTGTGCCTCCGCACTGTTCTCTTGCTCCCAAAAGGCCCCCACCAACATCTAGCTTGTCCTATGCAGATGAATTAAAAAATAAACAGGCAGACATATCTGGTTATGCACCATTAGGTCATGAATTGATTTATGACAAGCTACATATAGTCAGTGCCCTTTGGAAGAAAGCTTAGAAACACCCATAATTAGTCACAATTATGGGGACTGGGGGGTGTTGGACTAGCAGTATAGGTCTCGCGGTATAGGAATTGCACTTTCAATTCTTTTCCATATTGGAATTGATCCCACAGACAGACTTATGAACTATCAGCACAGTGGCCTTAACACACTCAAGTCTAATCTGCTATCTGCATATGTAAAGTACTAGCTAACAATATTGACTGACGCGATAAGCAACACAAAGAAATAGTGATACAGTAAGCATTCGGGGGATTTGCAACCAAAGCATTCGGGGGATTCACAACCAATCAACTCCCTGTGTGGATTCCAAGGCCCGATCATAGGGAAAACAAGAATAGACTCAACAAACAGGCGTGCATCTGCCTGAATGGCAAAGAACAACCAACTTCACACAAATACGCCAGTAAAATAGTTCTACATACAAAACTCAGACCTTGGCAAAAAGCCAAAGTCCAAATGGATGAACAACCAGAACTTTCCATTGGAGCTTACAGCCAGTGAAAAAAAGGAGAATAAAAAGACAACCAGTCAGCTTTCAGCATTATAAGATTATCTCATCTCTCTCTCTCTCTCTGTCAGGCATGTTACCGGTAAAAACGAGAGCTGATGCAAACACTGCTCTGAAATGATGAAATACTGCTACCTACAAAGAATTAGGATAGCGGTTCTCAGCCTGCGGGTTGAGACCCTTTTTTGGGTCAAACGACCCTTTCACAGGGGTCCCCTAAGATCACCAGAAAACACATATTCATTGAAGTTAAGAAGTGGTAACGAAAATAATTGTATGTTTGTGGGTCGCCACAGCATGAGGAACTATATTAAAGGATCCTGGCATTAGGAAGGCTGAGGGCCACTGAATTAGCGGAGTTCCACAGCCATGCTTTTCCTACGTGGTACTGTTTACCTCTCTGTCTCATTCATAGGTCACATGGTTATCTCGTGAACACAGCGCATTCCAAGACCTTGGATGGGAAAAACTAGAGTTTGAACAGTAATTAAAAATAATGGTACATAAATAAGACGCAACTTAATTTTGCGGTCTATTTTGAGGTGAAAAAAGGGTCTTATAAATCGGCTACACACACGCTCGCGCAAAAAAAAAAAACCAGTTTAAAAAAATTTAATTTTTAACAAATTAATTTTTGACTTGGGTAAAATTGTTTCTTTTTTGTTTTGTTTCTGTTTAAAGAATTATTTTCTGGAATTCCAGCGGTGTCATGAACCATTCTTTTTGGCTTTCCTGGGGCCGAGAGGGGTATTAACCTGTCTACAGTAATGTTCTGCTCTGTTTCTTCTGCAGTATGTTTCCCTTCCGTGAAGTAAATTAACATCATTTCTGTATTGACTGTTTTTGTGTATATGTTCCCTCTACTCTCTCCAGTTGCTCCAGTGGGAGCTGCTAAGAAAGTTGAGCAGAAGGCACAGTTTGAAGACAGTTCTTCAGAAGAGGAGGATAGTGATGAAGATGATAGTGAAGATGAAGAACAAATACCAACATCAGCCAAGCAGACCACTCAGAAACAAAATCAAGGTTGGTAAGATATTAGTGTGTTTCAATAATTCTTTCCCGGTCCTGCAGAATCAGAAGTTCAATAAATGATCATGATAATTTCTGCCCAGGTGATGTGATTATGTATACAGATGGCTATGTGTTGAGGGGCAGACAAAGTGATTGGTGGTTCATGGCAAAAGCAAATGGACGTGCCTTAGTGCAGCAAAACCTGGCAAATGATGTCACAACTAGTTTGAGAATAAAATTGGAGGCAGTCACTGCTGGCTTGAGAATCAGATGTACACACATGCTGTGATTGTAACTGACTCACAGAGCATGTTGAGAAAGGTGGAGACAGGCATGTTCCATGCAGAGTGGCAAGCATTGCTTCAGATGTCCCGGATAGTTTGATTATTTTCTCCAGGTTATGTGGGTGTGTTTAGAAACAAGCAGGTAGATAGATTGGTCAGTTCTGCACCACTTGGTGGTGAACTGATGAATGACAAACTAGATGCATTGAGGGCCCTTTGGGAGCGAGTGAACGGTGTAGAGACACAAATAGAATATTACAGTCTGAGGAGAATGTCGCTGCGAGAGGTTACCAGGGTATCTGGCAGACACTCAACAATCAGGGGAAGGGTGAGACAGATATACAATCAGACAGTTACTGATACCATCGGAATTGAAACTCTTTGTTTGCTGCGTTACTGGTACCATTGGAATTGAAACTCTTCGTATGCTGCTGAAGATGGGAACGGAACACTTATAGGAGTGTCCAGAGTGCTATGATGTCAATTCTAAATTCAACAGCATTCAACATTCAAGGTTTGACATCTGCTGTTTTCATTTGCAGATTCTGGTGTCCCATTATTTAAGGAGGGCGGGAAATAAAGGTCAGACACGTACTGCCCCCAGCTAGCATGTCCTAAAAGAGGACTAAATAATAGTTTGTTGAAATGGGATCTATTGGGCCAAAAAGTGCAGGTATCGCAGCTTAACTTTCAACTACGACATACTGTGCCAGATACCCTGGCTGTAAACTCTGATAGGAAGTTCTGCTCGTTTTAGCCACCTTCTACAACACGCTTGGTTTTGGCAAAAGGGTGGGGGGGGGGGGGGGGGGAAGGGCTATGGGTCTGTTATGTTTCCCCAAAATGGTGAAGGACTTTGAGAAAACTATTATGCTGTTTGATTATTTTTTTTTTTTTTAATGAAAAACTTTTACCTGCAAGAGGTAGAAGATACTGATGATTGTTGCTGCAGAATGTCATGGATGGATAGAATAATCAATAAGGCAAGTAAGTACTTTAAGAAACAGGACCATTTGATCACTGAAGAAAATTAGGATTTATTTATAGAATTTAAACATTATTCTCTGATTCCTATTTGATTATGTTTATTAGCTCCGTGTCATTCCTTCCAGTTCCTCAAGTGAGTCCCAGAGCAGCGGGACAGAAAGCACAAGTGGTGGAGAGTTCTTCAGAGGACGAGGATGACAGTGATGAAGATAATAGTGATGCAGAGAAGGAAGCACCAAAAGCAGTCAAACAGATACCTCAGCAGAAAAAGCCAGGTGAGTGAAAGACTTTGTCTCTCTATATCTGACTCTTGGTCTATTGTTTTCCCCCAAAATGGTGTCCCTGAACCCACAGGGGAATGGATGCGCAGGACTTCAAGAAAACTGTTATACTGGAGGATCTTGTGAGTAAACACTCTTTACATGAGGCAGAAGTTACTGATGATTGTTGCTGTAGAATGCCATGGGCGGATAGAGTTGAGTTAAGTCAAGAATTGAAATCACAGCACTCAGGGCATTCCCACGTGTGCTCCATCCTCATCTTCAGCAGCCAGCACAAAGTTCCAGTACTGATGGTACCGGTCGCAATCTGGTTGGGGGATAGAATAATGAATAAGCAGTCCTTCAAGATACACAAAGACAGCATTACAGATTCAGATAATTTTTTTCAAGTGAATGAAAGAAGAAGAAGAACATGAAAATGTGATGGCTGAAGAAACAAAAAAATGCCTGCAGAAGTTAGATGATCGGCCGAAAGGCGCAAATGTCGCAGCCATGTTGTAAATGGGAACAGTGCATTTACATGGTTGAATGAATACAGAAGAAGAAGAAACATTTGTTCATTATCTGTTTGCTGTATGGTTATGTTAATAGTTCCATGCCATTTCTTCTAGTTCCTCAAGTGAGTCCCAAAGCAGCGGGACAGAAAGCACAATTTGTGGAAAGCTCTTCAGAAGAAGAGGATGACAGTGATGAAGATGATAGTGATGCAGAGAAGGAAGCACCAAAAGCAGTCAAACAGATACTTCCCCAGAAGAAAGAAGGTGGGGGAAATATTGTATGTCCTTGTATTGCCTCTTGCCCCTCCCCCCCCCCCCCCCCCCCCCCCCCCCCCCCCCCCCCATATCTGCTTCACTAAGGAATTTTTAAAAGGCTTAGACTGTAGTGATTGTTTAAATTTGTCTAGATACTGCTAGCAGTCTATAGTGAACCCTTTGGGGACGACGGGGCCGATCTTTGGCCCAACAGAAAATAGCCAAAAGACGGCCCCTATAATATAAGCCTTGAGATTGGCTGGCTGGACTTGATACCAGCTAATCAGATATTTTTCTTCTCCCATTTCTTGCATATGTGAATTCTTCAGTGGCGGCTTTTGTCGAAGTTTGTTGCATACTGTAATTTGACATCAAATCTAGGTTGTTGAGGTGGAGTTTCTGAGAATTAAAACAATGCATTGCCGATTAACATGAAGACTCATACAGCTACAATGAGTAGATCTTGAGGTAACTGCCCTGACAGTTGTTAAAAGGAAGTGTACCCACAAGCAGATAGAACCTGTTACTTTGGTTGAAATCTGTTTAGAGGAGTAAACCTGTTGCCAATGCATGATAGAGTCAGACACACTAGCTTCTGAGCTAAGAGAAGAGGGGTGCATAACGTGGTGCGCACTCACCTCAAAAGGAGAACACATCGTTTGGCTAAAGCTCAGACTTGGGGGGGGGGGGGGGGGGGGGGGAGGGAATAAGCCAAAAAATAAAACTTAATTGTGAAACAAAAAAATGTGTAACTCAGTCTGACATTATTTTAATTCAGTTACTGTTTTAGAAGTTTTTACTAAATTTCAGCTGATTTTCAGCTAATTAGCAATGTGTTCATATAGGTAATGATTTCACGTCCCAGCTTTTAGGACAAGCCCATATTAGCTCCGGCTCTGTACTGAACAGCCAGCGAAGAGTCTTCATACTGTTAGCACCCGTTGTCATCTGGGTAATTGCTCGTCTTGTCTTTCCCTCCAAGTCTCGAGTGGTGATCAGAGCGCCCAGACACTACTGGCTGCATTAAACCCTCAAGATTATCCAGTGACTGTTTATTGACTGTTTAATTCATTCATTCAGTAGCATGTCCCTCGCGGAACCTCGCAGCCATAACAACCCTCCGGAAAACCTTCCTATCCTGAGCAAGATGTCCTGCGTCTGATACACCCATCTGGAGATCATCTGCCACATCCTGCACCCATCTTCTCCTTGGCCTTCCTCTTCCTCTCTTCCCAGGCATATACCCCTCCATTATTGTTCTCTCTAGACTTCCATGACGTTTCAAGTGACCAAAATATTTCAATTTTCTTTGTTTTATTGTCTTTACTAGCCAACCCTCTTCAATATTCAGCTCTTGAAGTATGGATGCATTTGTTCTTTTCTTTACCCAAGATATTCTTAGAACCTGTCTGTAACATTTATATTCAAATGCATTTATGCGCTGTTCCGCTTGTTTAGTAAGTGTCCAGGTCTCACAGGCGTATGTTGCAATGGGAAAGATGCATGCTCTTAAAAATCTGACCTTTGTAATTCTATCTGTACAATTCCATAATTTATTCAGTTGTTTAGTCTTTGAAGAGCAATTGATAGTCGCCGTTTAATTTCTTTCATTGGTGTCACCATTGTTGGTAACCAGTGACCCAAGATATTCGATTCGAATTTTCCACCACTTCCAATCTTTCCTCATTAACATATATTTCCTTCTCCATGGCAGTTTTGTTTGTATGCATTATCTTTGTTTTTGCTATGTTAAGAAATAAGTTATGATTTTCACTATTTCTTTGGAGTGAGGTTAATAAGTTTTCTAAACCATTTTGTGATGTTGATAGTAATACTGTATCATCAGCATAACGAATTTCTGGTATTTCATGACCACCGATGTTTAGGGCATCATATTGTTCCTTGTTTATATCATCTCTTACATTTCTCATTATATTTTCGGCGTACAGGTTGAACAAATACGGTGACAGCACACATCCCTGACGGACTCCTTGCTTGATGCCAAACCAGTCTGATGTCTCTCCATCTATTCTGACTGCTGCTTGTTGGTCTTGATAAGCATTTTAATGAGCTGCACTATATGTGATGGAAAGCCCATATTCCTCATGATTTCCCAAAGCTTCTGATGTTGTACACAGTCAAATGCTTTTGAATAATCCACAAAACATAAGAACAGATTTACATTAAATTCTCTACACTTCTCTATTATTAAACGCATGTTGAATATATGATCTCTTGTTCCTCTTCCCTGTCTAAATCCAGCCTGAGCTACATTAATCTCTTCTTCCATTTTCTTATGCAGTCTTCTCATTATAATTTTTAGTAGAATTTTACTTGCATGACTGATCAGGGCAATAGTTCGATAGTTTGTACATAATTTCAGGTCACCCTTTTTTGGTATTGGAATGAAGATAGTTCTCTTCCAGTCTTTTGGCCAAATACCATATTTCCATATCTTTTCACATAATGCATGATAGATTTTTAATGCTTTCTTCTCCTCCCGCTTTAATCAATTCAGCTGGTATCTCATCACATCCAGGTGATTTACCATTTTTCAGGCTCCTTATTGCCCATGAAATTTCATCTAATGAAGGTTCAGGTTCTGCCTCTACTGTTACTGGTTCATGTATATCATTCATATCCTCACTGTCATTCATATCATACATTCCGCTGCAGTATTCCTGCCATCTTCCTAGAATTTGTCTAGATTCTGTTAAAGTATTTCCCAACCTGTCACAAATAACATTTAACTGAGGTTGAAAATTTCTTGTCAATAACTTCATTTCCTTGAACATTTCGTAATCTCTTCCATTTTTATGATGCTGCTCTATTTTAATACAGCAATCTTGTACATACTGATTTTTATCCTTTCTGTTTCATTATTTCAGTATTTATTTATTTGATTATTTATTGCATTCTCACCAGTTCTTCAAGTGGGCGCTAAAGCAGCTGGACAGAAAACACAGGTTGCAGAGGGTTCTTCAGAAGACGAGGATGACAGCGATGAAGATGACACTGATGAAGATGACAGCGAGGAAGAGAAGAAAGCCCCAGAATCAGGGAAACAAATACCTGTGCAGAAAAAGCAAGGTTGGTAAACGTTTGCTTCCTGATAGTTGTTTACAGTATCTGGTTGTTGGATCAAGATGAACATAGGCACAAGTAGAGAGGTCCATACATTCATTCTCTTCTAATGTATTAGATCTTGTGCCCTGTTGGTTACAGAGAAAAGACATTTTATCTATGTCTGTGGATATGTATATATATGTGTGTGTGGATATGTATATAAAAATGTGTCTGAATATGTATATATATATGTGTGTGTGTGTGTGTGGATATGTATATATATATATATGTGTGTGTGCCTGCATGCATGTATGCATGTCTCCCTCTCTGTCAGTCTCTCTCTGTCTCTCTCTCTTTATATATATATATATATATATATATATATATATATATATATATATATATATATATATATATATATATATATAATATAAAGAGAGAGAGAGACAGAGAGAGACTGACAGAGAGGGAGACATGCATACATGCATATATATATATATATATAAAAGAACAGCTACAACTATTCACACAAAAACATAGACTATTTTTCTCATATAGTCAGTCAAATATATTTAATAAGTACTAAGTACAACATTTCCTGTATGGGTTTTGTGGGGAAGAAAGAGAATAGACATAAACCCACTACCCCCTGACAAGCATATCGTAAGAGTAGCTTTATTCTTCCTAAAGTCCATGCTGTGTGGCATTGGTATTCATATTTATCCACAACCTTCTGTCTCGTGTACTTTCAGTCAGCTCGGATACAGATGATCCTCCAGAGTAATTTCTTTCGTTCGCCCTCTGCCTTTACTCCCCTCCAACTTTCCTACTGTCATGATTTACTCCAATTTTCTTCTTCTCATCACATGACCAAAGAATGTAGACTGTAACTGTCTTTTACTGAAGTGGACAGTCAGTTTTCTTTTTGAGTCAGTTTTGTTCAAGACATTCTTGTTACTCTTTTTATCTGTCTAGGGTATTCTCATCATTCGTCTATAAAACCACATCACAGCTTCAAAATAATTTTTCACTAAACTACCAACTATCCATGATTCACTTTTATATATCAAGATAGGATTTAAATAGCTTTTAAGAATTCTCTTTCTCGTCTTAATTGACAAAGACAGATTGCATAAAATATTCTTCATTTTATAAAATGCTGCCTTTGCTGAGCTTTTCTGCACTTAACTTCTTTAATACATCTTCCATCTGATGTTATCAGGGTACCCAGGTACTTAAACATATCAGCTTGCTTGAAGTTTGTTCCATTTACTTTGATGTTGCATTTTGGAGGGTCAGTTTTCTTTGTAATCATAAGAGTAGCCTGATTATAGATATTTCCTTAGAAGTCAGAGTGCATCTGCTTGAGAGGCAAGGAACCAACATTCTGAACAAACAAAAGTAGGCTAGATTTTTTTAATGGATGTGCATGCAAAATTGGGGTTCTGGAACAGGACTACAGTCCAGAAGTGGATGAACAACCAGAGCTTTTCCCCGGAGTTTACAGCCTGTCAACGAGAGGAAGATGAAAAAGAAATATGACATAAGGTGTGACTGAAAGCTCACCAGAGAGAATGGAAAAGACGTGCACAAATACAGCCGTACATGTCGTCCAAAGCACAAATACAGCCCAACATATCGACCAAAGCACAAATATAGCCTTACATGTCGTCCAAAGCACAAATACAAATATGTCGACCAAAGCACAAATACAGCCCAACATATCGACCAAATCACAAATACAGCCAAACATGTCAACCAAAGCACAAATACAGCCAAACATGTCAACCAAAGCACAAATACAGCCAAACATGTCAACCAAAGCACAAATACAGCCAAACATGTCAACCAAAGCACAAATACAGCCAAATATGTCAACCAAAGCACAAATAAACCCAACATATTGACCACAGCACAAATACAGCCAAACATGTCGACTAAATCACAAATACAGCCAAACATGTCGACCAAATCACTAATACAACCAAACATGTTAACCAAAGTCTAATATAACATAGTACTAAAAACAACTTGGAAACAACCAATATTAACATACAACCAAGAAGTGTGTAACAGGAAAAAAATTTTGACATAAAGGGCTGTGTTATGAAACAAAATAAATAAGTAAGCGTTTGAAAAAAACAATAACAAATATTTATGTGATATCCAGGTGCCCAAAAGCAGGCACAAGTAGATGACAGTGAAGAAGACAGCTCTGAAGATGATGAAGAAGACAGTTCTGAAGATGATGAAGAAGAAGACTATATCCCAGCAGGAAAAATAGCACAAGGTTTAAACTTTGATATATTATTTGGCATTTATAGATGTTTCCGTTGAGTATTCAGCTTTCATTTCTTTTACATGAGCACATTTTGTTTTCATAGTTCAATAAATGACAATGGCTTGAATCATTACAGAAGTCCACTGTTCGTGGAGTCACCTTTATTTTTGTTCCGGGACACGCAGGCGTCGATGGAAATGAAAGAGCTGACAGGTTGGCTGGATCCGCTATCACTACCGACGGTCAGCCTATGGATCATGCTGATATTATCAATGCCCTCAGAGAAATGGGAAGAATAGAGGACTTTGGTGGCAGTGAATCCACATCACTCGCCAGAATGGCAGACTTGGGAATTAAGATCGGCACAGCAAAAAACGAGACGCACACCAGCTACGCCAGAAGACTTGTTAATCAACATAGAACTGGTACTATTAGCCATCGGACGTTGGGGTTCATACTGAGGGGAGGATCTGAGCACCTATGGACATGTCCGGAGTGCAATGAGGATAACCCAACTAACTAACTAACTAACTAACTAACTAACTAACTAACTAACTAACTAACTAACTAACTAACTAACTAACTAACTAACTAACTAACTAACTAACTAACTAACTAACTAACATTTTGTTTTCATTGTTATTATAGCTCATAAGTTATTGAACGCTACTGCTACCTGTATTGTTTTTAATACATTTGGAAAAGTGGGTGGAGATATGCTGTACTTAAAGTAACAGTTAAATATGATAGTGGTAGTAAAAGACCCTTTTCCACACCTTCAGGTGTATTGGGCATATAGGGCTAGACCTATATTTTTAAAGACCAATCAGCACTCAGTGGGGGATGTGGTCAGCATCATGCCGGCCACTTTTACTTCCCAGGACTATACCTGGTACCCACATAAGGCTGGGTGGACCTGAGAGCCCAGGTCATTAAAAAAAAAGTCAGGTTCAAATGATATAGAATCATTAGTATAGGGCTTTGGGCGAGAACTAAACAAACCCCAGTGACTCAAGAGGTGCAGAGACGCTGGTGTTGGATAAGATAGGACACACATTGAGAAAAAACTTGCTAACAGCTAAATAGAAGGGCCTTGCATTGGAACCAACAAGGTCGAAGGAATAAATATAGACCAAAGAACATGGAGAAGTGAACTAGAGATTAAATTTAAAAAAAAGATGGGTGCAAGGGGTGATCTGCATGCAGTAGCAGAGAATATGACAACTTGGTTGAGTACCTAGGCTCCATTGGTTGATAAAGTGTAGAATGAGAAGAAAGTGTGGTTGTTGGAAGGGGGGGGGGGGGTGGAGAGAACAGACCAACTACTACTTCCCTAAGAGGCTTGTTTTAAAAGGTGACTAATTTATGGTGTTTGTTTTTTTAGAGCCATAATGCATCTGCCTGAGAGACAAGGAACCAAATAAGCCAGATCTGTAAACTGGATGCCCACACAAAACTGGTTCTGGAACAAGACTAAAGTCCAGAAATGAAGAAGAAGAAAGTGAAAGCAGTGGACACGTTTTCACCACCTTCAGGCATCTTGCATGTGTGGTGCTAGCACTAAATAATAATGGTGCGCCTCTTCCCCCCCTCTCTCTGTCTCTGTCTCTCTCTGTCTCTGTCTCTCTCTCTTTCTCTCTCTCTCCCCTCTCTCTCTGTCTCTCGCTCTCTCTCTCTCTCTCCCCTCTCTCTGTCTCTCTCTCTCTCTCTCGCTCTCTCTCTCCCTCTCTCTCTCTCAGTGTGGGTGTGGGGGGGGGGGGGGGGGTCCTTTATTGATTGAAAGATGTAAGTTTGGTTATCATTACTTCGTACTTTTATCTCAATCTCAGATTATTTTCTGTTATAACATTTTTCTGCAGTAACCAAATCGATCAATGGAGTTAAAACAGCACTGACTAACAAGTCTGCTGGTGAGTTATTTTTTAATGGAAATTTTAAAAAAATTTTCTTTTGTGTTTCTTTGTTATATTTGTGGCGCTAATATTTCTGGCCACGACTGTCATTCCAGTTACTTTTGTTGCGTAGAATCTCATCTTAATCTGTGTTGTGCTTAGTCAAAGCTGTTGGTTAACTTATTTTTTTTTTTTGAAGCCATGACTGTCTGTTGAGTTTTTTTTATTCTAGCCAGGACTGTCTGTTAAGTTGTTTTCTATAGCCAGGAATGTGATCAGCATAGTACAATTAACATCACGCAGATTTTGCTAACGATCATCATGCAAAGGATTAGGAAGAAAATACAACCAGAAACGGGTGAAGAGCATTGTGAGTTTGTAGAAGGCAAGAGTACAACAGTTGTTGTTTATCTCCTGAGAACATTAATAGAACTTTCAATTGAAGTCAGTAGAGATCTTCACCTCTGCTTTATTGATTACACATAAGCTTTTGATAGAATGAGACACATTGACATGATAAAAGTGTTCACAGATCTACAAATTGATGGGAAAGATCTTGGACTGACTGAGAACATATACTAGAAACAACATGCTGCTGTTAGAATCCAGTTACTTTTGTTGCGTAGAATCTCATCTTAATGTGTGATATTTACGACCCCTGTCCCATCCTAGACAGTATTGTTTCAGCATTAATTATTCTGTAAGTTTTTGTTAAAAAAATCCACTAGAATTGTACCAACCAGTCAAGAGAGATGTGCGACAGGGGTATGTAGTGTCTGTGGATTTTTATGCCTTATGTATGAAAATATTATGTGACATCTGAAACATATAAAGAGAATTAACGTGGGAGGATGTAACATCAACAATATAAGATATGTGGATGAAACGGTGTTATTTGCAGACAATAAAGAAGATCTGCAGTTTAGTAGATGCTCAATGTCTTGGTTTTCTGTATTTGTCTTGCACAGTTTGAGTGGTTTAAGAACTGATTTGTTCATATTTTTCCAGGATTCAACTACAGCTTCTATCACTCTCTTCCTTGGCCTTTCTCTCACCTTCCCTCCAGATATTCTGCTGTAGAAGGTAGTATATACAGTTTGGTCTGGCTGCATTCTTATTAGATAGCCAAACCGTTTCATTATTCGTTTCATTATTTGTCTTTCGGTATCATTCAGACACTGTCTTGTGCTAGACAGTATTGTTTCAGCATTAATTATTCTGTAAGTTTTCTTTTAAAAAATCCAGCGACATATGTGTTGCATTTTATTCTTATGAAATTCTGGGAACATTTTGTTACAGTTTAATTCAGTTCAAGATTTAAACATTTCAGATGTGGAAGACACTGATAGTGATGAAGATGAGGAGGAAGAAGAAGAAGAAGAAGAGACTATTCAAAGTACACACAAAAGAAAGGGAGACAAGGCCAAAGAACAACCTCCAGCCAAGAAACAGAAGCTCAAAGGAGGTATGCTAGATTTTTTTATTTTCCATTTTGAGTTTCGGGACCCCAATATGTGGGGGAAAAAAGGAATCTAGCCTCTTCCGCTCTAACAGGCATGTCATAAAAGCAAACTAATTAGGGGTGTTGCCTGTAAAGTATGAGTGCATCTGCCTGAGAGCGGAGGAACCAGCAGTCTGCATACAAATAAACTAGATCTATAAAACAGATGTGCATGCAAAACTAAAATTCTGGGACAAGACAAGTCCAGAAGTGGATGAACAACTAGAACATTTCTCAGAAGTTTACAGCTGATGAACGTGAAGAAGAAGAATCTTATGTTACTTGAACTATAACAATGGTTCTTAAACTTTTTCTCCAAACATCAAAGTATCTTATGGGAACTGTAATTCTTCAGTTTAGTCGGAGTGGGCTAAAGAAATCGGTCAACATTTGTTTCTGACATACACTTGTCATTCTGTTATTGTTATTCCACTCCCTCTGCTGTAATCTTCTTCATCTTCTACGCATTCACTAGCAGAAAGTTCTGGTTGTTTGTCCACATTTGGACTTTAATCTTGTTCCAGAACTTGAGTACTATACCTCAACTTGTCATTTCTTCTTCTCTGTCCATCTCTTAATTAAGCATAGACCCTCATTCTACTCAGCCAAGCTTTGCAGCTCTGGTTTTATGCAGGATGAAACGGCAAGTCTTTCTAACCCTGCTTAATCACCTCTTGGGACATGCATGACAGATTACAGTTTCAGTATTTGCTTACTTGTGTCTCTACGATTTTGTCACAGAAGTAAGGGACAGTTAAGGTCGTTGTGTTATTGTGTTATATATAAGGATTATGTATAAGGACATCACTCTGTACCTCACTTCAGACTCTTTACTGGTTTTACAGATTCTCATGCAACACTCTGCCGCATGTCCTTGTCGTGTAAAACCGATCAAGACCGTCACCATCTGACTGGCCATGCTGCTGACATCACCAAACTGGGCTAATGATGCATTTAATGTTATGTTAGCCCGGTTTGATGACCTCAGCAGCGTGGCCAGTCAGATGGTGACGGTCTTGTATGGATAATGGCCTGAAGGGAGTGGCAGCAGAGGATGGAGTCTGTGGCTCCCAAAGATACATTTCCCAGAAATCCTCTGGCGCGTTCCAGCCAACCCCTTGTGCGAGGCTGATAACATACATGAAAACCTCATTTGGAACATGAGAGAATGCTACTGGCTGAGTACCCTACTAAATGACAACCTCAGGTTCAAATGTCTGTCATCCGAAAATCCTATTGTTTGACAAACCTTGGTTCAGATGTCTGGTAACAGACACTCCTACTATATGGCCAGTTAGAATCACATGTCTTGTTCAATAAGTGTCTTACTGTTGGACAGCGAACGTTCAGATGTCTCTTGCTCAAAGATCCTATTTTTTTTTTTTACACAAAAGGTTAAGATGTCTGCTACCAATGCCATCACTGGTCTGGGTGTAAAATTACCAAACCAGCAGGCCAAGCCTGGTGCATTCTTCTCCTTGATAATTCAGAAAGTTCTTAGGAGCATCGTCATGAGCGGTGCCGTTGTCAGAAGTCTTAACATGCTAAAGCAGTGAGATTCCAATTTGTGCAAGGAAACAGGTTTTCAAACTGCTTCTTATGTATCCCTAAAGGGCACAGACTTTAATGAGTGGAAAATTTAATATGTGGATGTGTCGTTAAGCAAACATGTACAGATTGTGATGATTCCTGGGGTGAGCCCACTACCAAAGCACCATGTATGGGCTCTGTGTTTTTGGAAGCCTTGGATGGCAAAGAATGCCCATGCTCTACCCTTGCCTTCCCTTGAGGGTCGACTAATCTGCACGCAGCTGGCCTGGACAGTTCCTTTAGGGACAACACTTGTGGATCAGAAGATTGCGGAGTCACCACACATATGCTACAGATATCCTACAAAACTAACCGTAAAGGCTAACCTGGATAACAAATGCCCTAAGAAGTTGGCCCTAAGAAGTTGGATGTGTCGGCCAAAAGGTGCAGATGTCACAGCCAAGCTGTAATTAGGCACAGTGCATTTATGTGACTCAGACGGGTGATGAAGTTTGCCTCATTAATTAGCCCCAGCTAGTACATAAGCATTGTTCCCTGTTTGGGTTCCAGGGTCCTGTTGTGGGCAAAACAAGAATAGACCCACTGCTTATCTAAAAGCATGCCTTAAGATTGGACTAATTAGGAGCTTTCTTCAAAGTCAGAGTGCATCTGCCCGGGAGGCAAGGAACCAATAATCTGCACACAAATGAGCCAGATCTGTAAAATGGATATGCATGCAACACTCAGGTTCTGGAACAGGACTGCAGTTCAGAATTGGACGAACAACCAGAACTTTTCTTCAGAGTTTACAGCTGGTGAACGCTAAGAAGAAGTAGATAAGCATTGTCATTTATTGCCAGTATAATAGTCAGGCTGCTCATCTTTTATGTCATATTGCTTAGCATCTTTGAAGCTAGCACATCATTATATGTCATAATGCTTAGCATCTTTGAAGATAGCACATCATTATACGTCATATTGCTTAGCGTTTTTGAAGCTAGCACATTATTATATGTGTGTCATATTGCTTAGTGTCTTTGAAGGTAGGACATCATTGTGTGTGTACATCATTTTGCTTAGCGTCTTTGAAGCTAGTACATCATTATACGTGTATGTCATATTCCTTAGCGTCTTTGAAGCTAGCACATCATTGTACAGGCATGTCATATTCTTAGGAAGTATTCATTTTTCTTAGTTGCTAAAGAAAATTCCATATTTTATTTTTTAAGATGGAGGAGAGGCATTGAAAGTGCCAGAAAGTAAGAAGCGGAAGAGAGAAGTCAAGAAAGAGCCAAATGCTAAAAAACAAAAACCTGAAGGTAAAATTGTGATTTTATTTTGTAGTCGTTCAAGATAGTTGAAACATTGAAGATGCCAATAGAATATTGAATTTGTTTTATTAGTTATATTCCTTTTTTCTTTCTCAGCTTCCTGTGAAGCATACAAATCTTATATCTTGACACACAAAGTCTTTTGACTTTGGAACCTTTCTTTGGGGTATACCAGTGTTTGGAAATGAACAGGCGGACAGATTGGCTGGCTGTGCACAACTTGGTGAAATATTGATGCATGATAAGGCAGAGATGGTTAGGGCCTTATTGGAGCATGTGTACAATTAGGAAGAGCCGATTGAACATCAGTCTTGTGACAATGCAGCGAGGAGTGACGAGGTGATCTGACCGATACTCGACGCTCAGAGAAAAAGCAAGACAGATGTATTATTTGAACTGCTACTGGTGCCATTGGTATTGGAACTCTGTGCTGGATGCTGAGGATGGGGATGGAGTGCTTATGGGAATGTCCCGTGTGCTGTGATATGTTGGTTTTGAATCAGCTCAACTCATGCAAGTTTGTTGAGTATAGTATAGGGTGCTTCAGGATACCACAGATCAAAAAGAACAGAAATACTGATTAAAAGATCTGAACATCGAGGAAGATTGGCTAGTAGAGAGCATCTTGTCTCAGAAACTGAAATATTTTGGCCCTATCATGCAACACCACGGATTGAAAAGAATAATACCTCAGGTAGGAAAGTGCTTGAGGCGGGAGAGCTGGTGAGAGATAGATATTTTTGGGTTTCTCAGGCAAACCATCATGAGATTAACATTCTATAAAAGTCATGCATAATGAAATATAGTAAAGTAAAAGTAAAGTTCCCTTTTCACGATTTTCGCGCATCAGGCATATGGGCAGAGCGTCCCATATTTTTACAGACCATCAGCACTCTGTGGGTAATGTGGTCAGCATTACGCCGGCTGTCTTTACTTTCCCAGAACAGCCCATCCTGGTACCCATTTTAGGCTGGGTCGACCTGCGACGTCCCATACCACGACAAAAATCCACGCAACCTGCAGTGGGTTTTGATCGCGGTATGCTGGCTTACGAGTTGGACTGCTGACTGTTAAAACCCTCGAAGCCATGGCGGCAGGCAGAAGTGCATCACTAATACTGGTCAAGGTCTACACATCTGCAAGGTCGTCCTAGAAAGAAGTTTTCTACCAGGGAACCCCGTTAGTATAATTAGGATCAACTTTTGCTTCGAAGTTGGGGCATATCTACCTAAGATGCAAGGAACCTACAGTCTGCACATATTGAGCCAGATCTAGAAAACAGACGTGCATACAACACTCGGTTCCGGTAACAAGTCCTTACATAGATTACCAAGCCCTTAGGGCTCCACGGAGCATAGAAAGCAACCTTTTCAACCTGAGAAGCAGAAAATCAACACTTCCATTTGGGCCCAGTTCCTGGTTAATGCCACTTTTTCCACTTGTCAGTTGTGAACTTTTGCAAGATGCATATTATTGTTATTGGCTGTTTTCTGTGAGTTTTCCTGCCTGCACAAATGTTTAGGGGGCCAGGATATGAATATATTTAACTAACTGTGTTATGAGAAGAAGGAAACTGGAGCTTGTTATGACCACTGGAAAGATCTGTGGAAAGAGAGACACCCGGCGAGAACGTGAGAAGATTCTTGACAGCGTTTTGTCATGGCATGGAGGGGTGTCAACACATGCACTGATGCACCCGGTTGCAGATCACTGAGCGGCGTGATCACCCATGCCAGTCATTAAGGCACTTGATGATGATGATGATGATTAGTGACCTGTATAAAATTGTTTTCGTTTAACAAATTTTTTACTGTATTTTCTCGGGTCATGACCCTTTGTGTGTGTGTGTGTGTGATTGTGTTTCCAGGGCGAAATAATTAGTAATGTTCGTGAAAGCATTATTTTCTAATTTCAGGGGTCTCTATGGCGAAGAGGTCAAGCCGCTTGCCTCAAGGGTTCATTTCACGATGGCGCTGTTCTGTTCACAAGCGCAGTTTTTTTTTTTTTTTTACGGAGGGCCCTGGGGATCATTACCAAAGCTACGGAGGTGCGTACTCTGTGCGATGCTCTCGGCAGGCAGCTAGCTGTTCTGCAGAGAGAGACTGAGCCATATGGGAAGAAACCCTGTGCAGTGAAGTCGTTCCTCTCACCTTCACCTTTATTATGTTCTTGTCCTCTGTGTTTTTGTTACTGACATCTGGTTGTGACTGATGTGATTACAGCTGCCAATGGAAGTGAAGGACCTGTGACACTCTATGTGGGTCATTTGGATAACAGCACAACTGAAGAGGAAATTACCAGCTTCTTCAGTAAAAACAACATCAGCCTGGCTGAAGTTCGCAAACTGCCAAATAAAAGGTGGGTCTGTGTACGTCAGGGGTTTTCAGTCTTTTTCAAGTGGTGCCCCCTCCTTAAAGATATGGCAAGATCCCCATGACCCCCCCCCCCCCCCCCCCCCTCCCCCTCAGCTGGTAGGGTCTGCCATTTCAGACATGTAAGGGAATGGAGACCAACAAACAAAGTGCCATACAGTCATACTGTAACAGAAGTTGTTGGTGCAAAATGGCATACCCCCAATTACATATATCGGTGTCAGAAGATTTTTCAATTGCCTTTTTTGCACCAATGTACAGCCACATGATGGTGATGTAAAACAAGATTACGCAATTTTTTTTTTAATCGCTGAAATGTGTTCTCCATTCAGTTTGGTTCCAGATATGCAAAATATTATGAATTTATGTCAAATAATTGTGAAGCTAGGGCATTTTTAGCAGACACTAAAATACGTGGTATCTTGGAAAGTGCATGGGTTAACAGGCTTGGTAGTCAGTGGATTAAAAGGTGGTGACTTACCTTGACAGAGCCCATCAACAAACATTACACCTTCCCCCCGACACTTCGATGAAGTACAAGGTGAAAGAGAAGAAGAAGACTTACCAGTGTGACTGATAATCATCGCTCCCTTTTCTGTGGAGCCATTACTGGCTTTCATCTGCTGTATCTGAGGACAAACTCTGTTCTGCTTCCCATTCCTCGGAGTACTGTGAAGGCGGTGGTTGTATCTTTAGTTATGCTAACAGTAGCGGAACTACAAGCAAGTTTTTAACTGTTTTTTCCTTAAAATGTGATTTATTGTAGATGGATTTGCTAAACTTGTCCAGAGAGTTAATAAGCTTTATAAAGCTTATGATTCCGAAGCTTAGTGAAGAATATGGTAAGGTCCACACAAAAACAGCATTCAAGTTTGAACCAGTCATTATTAACAAGTATAAACAATAATTTAAATAACGTGGACACAGTTGTACAATTTATTTCCTGGTGTATTTCACTGTATCTCATTCGGTGCGTTACTCCAGTGTTACGTCAACATATACTGAAGCACACTAATGAATCCTTTCACTGAAATACACAAATCACAATGTCTTGTCTAGTCGCGCTGTACAGCTCTCTACCAGACGTTCAAGGTAGCTATGTGGTTACCATGGAAATTTGACATTTACGACATGCTGTTTTTGTGTACGCACCACAGGATTGTTCATTTTTATTGTCACAGCTTCTGCCACTATCATTAATCTCTTGCTCTGAGTGGCCAATGCTTATACACCACAAAAGTGAATAAAAACAGATCAGCTAATCCTTGCAATGAAACAAATTGAAATCCATGTTTTCAGCATATGTATCTCAGAGCTGTATTCTGACATTCATGACTAGATAGGTATGGAAAACAAGAGTCAAAGCTGTATTGTGTCATTTTGGTTGATTTTCCAGCACTGCCTTTGTGGATCTGGAGGATGCAGACGATTTAGATGATGCTTTAGCTCTGAATGGCATCACATTTAAAAACAATACCATTGCAGTCGAGAGAGCCAAGCCTCGTACTCCAGCCCAAGCAGCACTGTATAAAAAAGTCCCGTCAACCTTTATACCTGGCGACACAAGCAACAAGTCGGAGAACGAGAGTAAGGACTATGGTTGCTTTCCTCTTTGTTTCCTCTAATTGTACTTCATTGGCGTCATTGTCACTGACTCACAGAGCATGTTGAGAAAGGTGGATTCTTTTGTGTTTCTTTCTCTGTCTGTGCTTTTTTCTGCCTCTTTCACAATGATTATTTCAGTTGAAGGATCTTGTTCTGTTTCCACCCCCCCCCCCCCCCCCCCCCAATTGAATAAAAAAAAAAAAAAAAAAATAAAAACAGCACTTCTTCTTCTATCTTTGTGTACTCTTGCAAAAAGTTCTTGTTGATTATCGGCTTCTGGACTTGAGTCGTGTTCTAGAACTTGAGCTTTGCATGTGCATTTTACAGATCTGGCTTATTTGTTATGAGACTGTTTGTGTTCCTGGACTCTCAGGCAGATGCACCCAGACTTTGATGGAAACACCCCTAACTGGTTAGCTTTTACGACATGCTTGTTAGCATTTCAGTTAAGTCATTTTTTTGTGTGTGGTTATTCTGCCCCGGAACTCAAATAGGGAAAGCGGTGATTATTTCGTCATCATCATCACAATCTTCTTCCTCCTCCTCCTTCTCCTCCTCCTTCTTCTTCTCCATCTCCTTCTTCTCCTCCAGTTACCTCAGTGAAGTTTTCGGCAGAGTGGTAAAAACTTCTGTATACTGTTTCTGATGCACTGTAAGTTGGCCCTTATTTCTCTGAGGGTTGTGCTTGATGCCTTATTTCCATCTTATTTTCATGCCTTTACATGATCTTCACCAAGCTCTGTGTTCATTTGTTCCTTCAGTGTGTCTGTCTTCTTTACAAATGTTTTTCTTTAAAAACAAAATTCTCCTGGCACACACTAGCACTGATAGTGCAGTTAAAACAAGAACTGACTGGACACTATTTAAAAAAAAATTGTTTTCAAACTATTAACGTATTTATATTACTTTAGTTTATTGCCTTGTTTCAGTTATGTTGGTTTTAAAAGTGCACTTTTTTCTTTTAAACAGAAGACAGTCGCACACTATTTGTGAAGAATCTGCCAGAGAGTGCGACATCTGAGAGTTTAAAAAGTATTTTTGACTCGGCGTTGTACATCAGAATTCCAGAGAAAGAAGGCGTTCGTAAAGGGTGAGATTTGTGATTAAAGTACATTATTCTGTTAGTAAAGCATTCACTGTAAACACAAATTTGTTTCTTCAACTATGCCAAAAGTTACTATAGTTATTACAATATTTAGCAGCAGGCAAGAATTAGATTCAGTATTAGCTTGCAGAACTTTCAGGTGGACCAACGGTCGGCCTATGGATCATGCTGATATTATCAATGCCCTCAGAAAAATGGGAAGGATAGAGGACTTTGGTGGCAGTGAATCCACATCACTCGCCAGAATGGCAGACTTGGGAATTAAGATCGGCACAGCAAAAAACGAGACGCACACCGGACACGTCAGAAGACTTGTTAATCAACATAGAACTGGTACTATTAGCCATCGGACGTTGGGGTTCATACTGAGGGGAGGATCTGAGCACCTATGGACATGTCTGGAGTGCAATGATGATAACCAAACTAACTAACTAACTAACTAACTAACTAACTAACTAACTAACTAACTAACTAACTTTCAGGTGGACAGAATAAATATACTTTCAGAACTATCATGAGCATAGGAAAAATATTTGCTTTCAGAACTGGATTTAAAGCACTTCCTAATAAAGTCCACAGCTAACAGTGCTGCACTAAGACTCATTTCAATAGATAGGCAAACAACTATCAACTCCGAATCTTCTGTTAGGAAAATGCTTCAGAAAAACATGGACAGCAGCAAACAGCACTGCAATACTTCAACAGACTGCTCACCCGTTGGCCATTTATGACAGAAGGTCACTGAACTCAGCATTAAAAGTAAATGGTTAAGCACCAGCGGGGGCTGAACACCTACAAAGATGGGCACAGGATATGACTGCTTGAAAATGAAAGTACACAAGGTGAGAGATGGCGAGGACTGAGTTTCTTTCGGGCAGACGGTGATAAGAGCGACCTGCTACGTGATGAGTCACTTAACTGATCTGATGCTAACTAGCTAAAAGCTAATTGTACCTGTTACCGTGCCTCACATGTAAATTGTCTGAGTTCAGTTTTGATACACCCTCTTTTTCTTTTTAGCTTCGGCTTCATTGAGTTTGCAGACAAAACGTCGATGGAGGCAGCCATATCCGAGAACCAGGGTGTGGAGTTTGAGGGCAGCTCACTGTTTCTGGACTATGTGGGCTCTAGGAGTACGTTTAAGAAACAGCGTGCAAGTCCTGGGACCAAACCAGGCAGAGGAGGTAGCAGACAAGCTAATTCAGGTAACGTTCCTTTCTTAAATCTCCTTCTATCTGTCTTCGGGGATGAAAGTGTGTCACAAGGGTAGAATTCAAGATGGTGCCTAGAGTCTTATTTTCTCTGTATAGTCCACGCTGTATGGAATTGGTAGTCCCACAACATTCTGTCTGGTGTACTTTCAGTTCAGTTCTGACACAGATGATCTTCCATGCCATGTCAGATTGTCCAGCATCTTCTCACTGTGTCTGCCTCTGCTTCTTTTCTCTTCCAGCTTTCTCCTTCTCATGACACGACCGAAGAATAATCTAAATGTGTGCTTAGATTGTGTGTGGACAATCAGTTCTCTTCGTGAGTCAATTTCTTGTAAGACATCTTCATTATTCTTTTTATCTGTCCCGGGTGTTCTCATTAATTTTCTATAAAATCATTATCTTGGGAGCTTCCAAATATTTTTTTATTAATCGTCTGACTGTGATTCACATCTGTATATAAATGAGTCATTTTAACCCTGTCATAATAAAATTCATTACTTCCCTCTCGAATACCTGATCACATACTGTACTGCTAATAACTACTCTTGAATCTGTGTGGGTGGGAGTGTACTTGCATGTGTGTGTCTGTGTAGAGAGAGAATGGCTGGCTAAATATTTAGGGTACTAGGCCGTCATTTGGGAGACCTGGGTTTGAATTCCCAGTATAGTGATAAAAATTTATTTCTGTCAAGGACATAAATAATAATCCTTGCCTGCACGGTTTATGGCAGTTGACTAGCTATGAGGGCCTATATTATCAGGCTCAAGTCACCTTCACCCTCCCTTTCCTTTCCCTATCCTGCACTACCCTGAAGATTGGTAAATACAGCCATATTGTGTGCGTGTGTATATATATCCAACCACCCACACACATGCCTGTACACCACATGCACGCACGCACACACACAGCCCCCCCCCCCCCCCCCCATATTTTGCTGTGAATAAGATGACATAATAAGTACCTGGCCCTGTGTTGTCACCATTCAGTGTTTCAGACGATAGTCTTGTCTTTTGCTGTGGAGAACCATGAGACTCACAGCCCATGTTGGTGGCCAGTGTCACAAGCAAGACCCACACGGGATACAAATGTCTTCCCCAATTAGAACATGGGATTTCAGGACTGTTGTTGCCATCACATTTGTTTAATGTGCTTCTCAGACTCTCAGCTCTCAAACTTTCTGCAATCATTGTTTCTTTTTTCCCTCATACCTTTCCTAATGTCACTCCAACCCCCCCTCCCCTACACACTATTTTGCAACTCGGTCTATGACATTTTGTACTCACAAATCTACCTCAATACCTGTATCTTTTATGTCCCGCTTGCACACATCGTTATATTGTAGTAGAGGCCAGCTCGTCATCTTTTGTCTCTCTGTAATTAATTCACCATAGAGGATGTCCTCCATTCTTCAGGTGTGATCTAGCCCCCTCAACCATTGGGCACAGAGCATTGAGAAGACGGTTGCAATACCTGCTCTTTCCTGTACTTCAGTGTTTGTGATCTTGTCTTGCCACTTCCTCTTCTTAACATTCACTAGTTTTAAAGTCTGCTAGAAAGTTCTGGCTGTTTGTCCACTTTTGGACTTTGTTCCAGAACTTGACTTTTGCTTTCACATCCATTTAAGATATTTGACTTATTTGTATGCAGACTGTTGGTTCCTCGCCTCTCAGGCATATGCATCTTGACTTCAGAGGAATCACCCATAATTGGTTGACATTTACGACATGCATATTAGAGGTGCAGATCCTTCGAAGTCGGAGTACAGCTGCCCATGAGGCAGGGAACATTAAAACGGTTGTACGCGCAAAAATCAGGTCCGGGTGAAAGTCAAAAGTCCAAGTGGACGATTAACCGTGACCTCCCGCCGGAATTCACAGCCGGTGTACGCAAAAAAAAAAAAAAAAAAAAAAAAAAAAAAAAAAAAAAAAAAAAAAAAGAGGTGCAGTGGGTCTGTTTCTCCCCCCCCCCATCCCCCACCCCAAGCACAATACGGCCCAGAACCCACACAGGGAAGTCTTGCCACATGATACACAGTTTTCCTTCTTAAACCCCATCACACCTGACAGCCACATGATACACAGTTTTCCTTCTTTAACCCCATCACACCTGACAGCCACATGATACACAGTTTTCCTTCTTAAACCCCATCACACCTGACAGCCACATGATACACAGTTTTCCTTCTTAAACCCCATCACACCTGACAGCTGTCTATCTGTGTGCCTGGTGTGGTTTTACAAACTAATATGGATATGGCTGTGCCGTTATATCATATCAACTTTACACTGGCAGGCGCAAGAGGAGATTCAAAAGTGCTGTTTGTGAAGAACCTCAGCTACAGCACAGATGAGTCCTCGCTGAAGGCATCTTTCAAGGGAGCCCTTTCAGCTAGAATCCCAATTTTCCAGGAGTCTGGCAAGTCCAGAGGGTGAGCTTAGGGCTTTCCTATATTTGAAAAAAAATTTAAAAATTTCTTGTGATTGTCAGTAAAGCCTTGTCCGTCCTGAAGATAGTGAGAAACATGCCTGCCTGCCTTCCTTCCTTTCTTCCTTTCTCCCTCCTTCCGCCCCTAATTCCTTCCTCCCTTGCTTCCTTCCTTTCGTTCTTCCTTTCTCCCTCCTTCCGCCCCTAATTCCTTCCTTCCTTCCTTCCTTCCTCCCTCTGTCCCTTAATTCCTTCCTTCCTCCCCCCCCCCCTGCTTCCTTCCTTCCCTCCCTTTTTCTTTCCTTCCTTCCCTACTGGACTTTGGTTTTGATCCAGAACTAGAGTTTACAAAAAAATTTTTGTTTTTGTTTTTTTGCACATCCATTTACAGATCTGACTGTTTGTATGCAGGCTGTTGGTTGCTTGCCTCTCCTGCAGATGTAGTACTTTGAAGGAAACACCTCTAATTAGTCAAAACATCCCTAATTAGTCACCACCCACGACATGCTCCTAGGGGGGAGAGGGGGGCAGTGGGTCTATTCTTTGTTGTCAAAAATGGAGCCTAGGAAACCTCACAGGAAGGAAACATTTGATTTGAAAGCAAATTCATCTCCATACTAGAATAGACAATCTGTGAAAATAATTTCATTGTAAAGAAAAGACACTTCCACATAGGAAGGGTAATCTATGAAAAACATTCCACTTGGAAGCAAGTTTTGCTGAAATTGAATGTGTTGGGCCGAAAGGCACAGACATCACAGCCTACCTGTAAACTACAACACAACATGACCCCAACCTTTAAGGGAAAGTGCAGAAGATGGCAAAAAAATCAGTAAACCAAACTTGTTTTAAGGAATTACTCCAAGCCAAAGTTGTTGCTAAATCAGTAAACCAAACTTGTTTTAAGGAATTACTCCAAGCCAAAGTCGTTGCTAAATCCCCGATACTCATGCTAGTCTTGATCAGCCTGGCAGCCCAGTCAGTTTATAAACAGAAGCTCTGTTATGTTATGCACATCACTTTTCATGTTTTGTCCCTGTTCTCTTTCTGTGTCTAGATTTGCATTTGTGGACTTCCCAACAGCAGAAGCTGCAGCCAAGGCTTTTGATGCCATGAGTGGTCAGACTATTGATGGGCGTCAGGTGACACTAGATTTTGCTGTGGACAAAAATGCTGCTGGTGCAGGAGGTAGAGGCGGCTTCAGTTCAAGAGGACGTGGAGGAAAAAGTAAGTAGTTCAGTTCTTACTTGAACTGTACTGTTTGACTTCCAATCCTGTCTGACAAAAAGTAGAAGTGAAAAGGCCATTGTGGACACCACACAGCCGGCATAAATGTATTTAATATATGATGAGTAAACGGCTGTGAATGATACCAGTAAACATCTATGAATGATATGACACCAGTAAACAGCTATGAATGATACCAGTAAACAGCGAAGAATGATACCAGTAAACGACTATGAATAATACCAGTAAACGGCTGTGAATAATACCAGCAAACGGCTGTGAATGATACCAGTAAACGGCTATGAATGATACCAGTAAATATATATGAATTATACCAGTAAACGGCTATGAATAGTAATACCAGTAAACGGCTATGAATAGTAATACTAGTAAACGGCTGTGAATGATACCAGTAAATGGCTATGAATGATACCAGTAAATGGCTATGAATGATACCAGTAAACGGCTATGAATGATACCGGTAAACGGCTATAAATGATACCGGTAAACGGCTATGAATGATATCGGTAAACGGCTGTGAATGATACAAGTAAACAGCTATAAATGATACAGGTAAACAGCTATAAATGATACAGGTAAACAGCTATAAATGATGCCACACTAATGACAGCTTTTTGTTTGTTTGTCACTTCCTGTTTAGGTGGTGGGAAAAGCTTTCGAGGCGGTGCTGCTGGTGGTCAGAAGGGTAGAGGAGGCTTTAACAAAGGCGAGTCTTTGAATTCTGATGTGTCTGTATGTCTGCTTGTCTGTCTGTCTACTTTAAAAATCTTCAGAATTGGCACCTGGTATTTTAGAAATATGTGTCAGTTGAGAAAGTCAATGCAAGTGATAAAGGCCTCTACAGATATCCTGTTTGTACAAATGGAGCTTGATATTAAACATTAGAAGTCGTCTCAAAAAATTCCGGAAGGAAAGGAAAGCTGCCCATCCAGAAGACATTCCAGCAGAAGATGTTAAAATTAAAGCCAACTAAAGAAAATAAATACTGACACGTTATCCTGAGCATAAGACGATCGCATGTACAAGTAACACCTTGGTTTTGGGACCAAAAATTTGGGGTGGAGGGGGGCAATAATGGACTATATAACATTATTGAGCGCACATTTTATTCCTCATAGAACGCAGAAAAATCCCTATCACTGTCAAAACTGTCATCCATGTGATAGTTCTTTCGCTTGTCCTCATCTGTGTCTGTTTACAAATTCCTGTCTTCAGATATTGCCTCATCCTCAGTTCTGTCTATGACATTTGAAATGCCACTCTTCTTGAAAGACTTGACATACAGAACAAAGGGGATATTCTCAGCGCTCACCGGCTGTAATCTCTGACGACAAATCCTGCTTGTTTATCTACCCTTGGACCTTGATCTTGTTTCAGAACTTGAGTTTTGCGTGCACGTCCATTTTACAGATTTGGCTTATTTGTAAGCAGACTGTTGGTTCCCCGCCTCTAAGGCAGATGCACTCCGACTTCAAAGGAAACCCTCCTAATTAGTTTACTTTTATGATGTGCTTGTGAGGGAGGGGGGTCTATCTGCACAAAATGGGGCAATAGAACCCGTACAGGAAAATACTGAAGTGCAAATCACAGTGGACAAAGGACATTTAGTTAATAAGGGGAAAATGTGGAAGCTGTGTAGATGCGGTTAATAAAAGAATGATGAGGACACTAAATAGAGTAAAGATCCCTTTTCACGCCTTGGGTATATCCGGCATATGGGAAGAGCACCCACATTTCTAAAGACCATCGGCACTAAGTGGGTAATGTGGTCAGTATTACGCCGGCCACCTTTGTTTCCCCAGGACATACATCCTGGTACCAATTTTAGGCTAGGTCGACCTGCGTCGCCTCACAGCATGATAAAAATCTATGCAGCCAGCAGTGGGTTTCGATCGCGGACGCCGCGATGAGAATACCAGGGACAGATAAAACGTATAATGAAGATGTCTTGAAAGGCATTATTAACTCAGAAGCAATTGTTTACTGTAAATTGTGGCATATAAATTGAGTTTTTCAGTCTAAACAAAATCTTTCCAAAACTGCAGGTGACTTATTAGGTAGGTATAACTTGTGTTAGGCAGGTATTTTTCTCTAAAACAATGAACAGACTAAAGTAGCAAGTGGTATGTTCTGTGCTTGGTTTCATTACCCCCCAAAATGGTTCCATGACATTATTGGGAGGCAGCCGAGAGGGGGAAATAGACTCACTGCCTCTTAACCCTTCCGCCTAGCTAAGTAGTTTTAGTTGAAAATTTAGGAGTCAACTTGTGCTCCAGGACAGCTTGTATTCCAGATGCCAGGTTGACTTATATTCCAGGTCGACTTATATTCCAGACACCAGGTTGACTTATATTCCAGGTTGACTTATATTCAAGATGTCAGGTTGATTTGTATTGCAGATGCCAGGTCAATTTGTATTCCAGGCGTCAGGTTGACTTGAATTTCAGACGTCGGGTCAACTTTTATTTCAGATGCCAGCTCGACTTGCACGCCAGGTCGACTTGCATGCCAGATCAACTTGTACACCACAATTTACAATACTCTATCAGATTAACACGATTACAGTTGATAAGGGAATACCTAGTTATATAAACATAAAATTATCATACATGTTTAATTTCTGTTGTCCGACAGCCAAAGGAGGGATTGTGCCGGCTCAAGGCAAGAAGACCAAGTTCAGTGAAGATTCTGATTAAAGCTTCATGGTTTCTTTTCTCATTGTGTTTATTCTTCCTGGCAGTTGTGGGGGTAAAGGCACATGGATAATCTGTTTATGTGTTTGGGGGACGTTGGGGTTTTCATATATCGTGTTGTTTTTTGAGGAAATTCTACAGTTGTGTGGCCAGTCACAGCCAAATAGAACAGTGTTGTTCAAGCGGTGGGCCACGGGAACAGTCCAGGAGGGCCGCAGAAAAATTTCTGCCTGATCAAGTAATAAGACTATCTGAGATTATGAGATATTCTCTAACAGAAAACTGGCTGCTTACCAGTGTCATGTCTAGGCAACTGAAAAATGATTTTCTTCTTTTGTGATTGTGTCATATTTTGTATTATATTTTGAATGTGACTTTGTCTCTGTCTCTGTCCTCTAACTGTTTCAGTGACACACTTTCTTGACTGTTTCTAACAGCAACTCTTTCTTACCTTCTGTCTGTTTCTGTTTCTATTGTCTCTGTCAGTATGTTATTTTCAGTGTCTCTTTCCTTTATCCCCCCCCCCCCCCCCCCCCCCCCCCCCCCCCCCCAATTTAAGAAATTACAGATAATTGTAGGTTTGAGTTTATCTCTTAATAAAAAAAAAAAAAAACAGTCAGAGTTCTTAAAAAATAAATATAAAAACTATTTCAGGTTTTAATATGGCCAAAATAGTACACTTTCTGAGATCTGATTTTAGCAAAACCTTAATTAGTATCCTCTTATTGCTTGCTTCTCATGGGGCAGAGGTTCCGTTCTTTTTTTCCTACAAGATGAGGCTGAGAACCCACATGGAGAAGATTGATTATAAATGCCGCATTCAGCTGCCAGCTTCATTATGAAAGCCTCATTTGTAACAACACTGATTGTGTCAGCATCATTTCTTAAACAACTGATTATGAAAGCCTCTTTTGTAACAACACTGATTGTGTCAGCATCATTTCTTAAACAACTGATTATGAAAGCCTCTTTTGTAACAACACTGATTGTGTCAGCATCTTTTCTGGAACAACTGATTATGAAAGCATCTTTTGTAACAACACTGATTGTGTCAGCATCTTTTCTGGAACAACTGTTTATGAAAGCCTCATTTGTAACAACACTGATTGTGTCAGCATCTTTTCTTAAACACCTGATTATGAAAGCATCTTTTTTGATATAACTGATTATGAAAGCATCATTTGTAACAACACTGATTGTGTCAGCATCATTTCTTAAACAACTGATTATGAAAGCATCTTTTTTGATATAACTGATTATGAAAGCATCATTTGTAACAACACTGATTGTATCAGCATCATTTCTTAAACAACTGATTATGAAAGCATCTTTTTTGATATAACTGATTATGAAAACATCATTTGTAACAACACTGATTGTGTCAGCATCATTTCTTAAACAACTGATTATGAAAGCATCTTTTTTGATATAACTGATTATGAAAGCATCATTTGTAACAACACTGATTGTGTCAGCATCATTTCTTAAACAACTGATTATGAAAGCATCTTTTTTGATATAACTGATTATGAAAGCATCATTTGTAACAACACTGATTGTATCAGCATCATTTCTTAAACAACTGATTATGAAAGCATCTTTTTTGATATAACTGATTATGAAAACATCATTTGTAACAACACTGATTGTGTCAGCATCATTTCTTAAACAACTGATTATGAAATCATTTTTTTTGATATAACTGATTATGAAAGCATCATTTGTAACAACACTGATTGTATCAGCTTTATTTCTTAAACAAATGATTATGAAAGCATCATTTTTGATCAAAACTGATTATAAAAGCATCATTTGTAGCAACTGATTATAAAATCATCTTTTTTTTTTTGAAATAACTGATTATGAAAGCATCTTTTTTGAAATAACTGATTATGAAAGCATCATTTGTAACAACACTTATTGTGTAAGCATAATTTATGGAACTGATTATGAAAGCTTCTTTAAAAAAAAAAACTGATTATGAAAGCATCATTTGTAACAACACTGATTGTGTAAGCATCATTTCTGGAACAACTAAAATATGAAAGTAACTTTTTTGAAATAACTGATTGTGTAATCATCATTTCTGGAACAACTGAAATATGAAAGCATCATTTTTAAAATAATTGATTATGAACGCATCATTTCTGAAAAAATTGATTATGAAAGCATCATTTCTGAAAAGATTGATTATGAAAGCAAACTCACAAGACTGATAACAAAAATATCATTATATTGCTAGATTGATTACGAAAACATCATTTCTGGAAAGAATGAAAATGAAGTATTTTCTAGAAAACTTTATGAGAGGATCATTTCTGGAAAGACCAAAAAGAATTTCTAGCAAGACTGATAATGCAATCATCATCTTTATTACTTCAGAAACTTGCAGACTTTGTATTTTATGTTCGTTTATACATGTTAGTATAGAAGGACCATATCCATGTAAATTTGTGAATGTAGAGTCCTGGGTTTCTTTTGTCTACCTTCTTCCGTGCTTGCCAGCTGTCAGCTGCTTGCCGAAGGCCTTGGTTACTTGTCCATGTCTGGACTTAAGCTTTGTTCCAGGACTTAAGAGTTTCGTGCACTTTGATGTCACAGATCTGACTTATTAGTGTGCTGAATGGCAGTTTGCCAACTTTCAGGCAGATGCACCGTGACTTTGACAGAAACACTGAAGCTGTCTTTAATTGAGTAGCCCTTAATTAGAGAAACTCTAAAGTCTGGCACATAGGCAGAAATGCACATTTTCAAGTAATGAAATTTTTTAAAACATTTTATTGAATAGGAATATTAAATAGCGTCTTCAGTATGATTTCCGTCATTTACAGTGCAAAGGTGGATGCGCTTTGCAAAATGCATGTGAACTCAATGTTATAAATCTACATACCGTCATTTTGAGCACATTCGCTCTGTCTATCCAGGGTTTAGGGGTACCCTGTAGAATGACAACGGAGAGGTGTAGATACGTCTTGACCAGTCTTGAACTCTGATCGTGGTGCCCCACCACAGGTACTGATTCAACACTGCATCCTTTTGTCCACTTTCCTGCTTACCCTCAATTTCATTTGTTATATCAGGAGCTGTTATCCACCTCAAGCAAGGAAAGTGAAGTTAAAGTGCCTATCAGGCCTAGTAGGCTAGACTCATATTTTGTATAGACCCGTAGGGCCTCAAAGGGTTATATGGTCGGTATCACCCTGTTCTTTGGTCATCTGATGAGAAAAGGAGCACTGAAAAAATATTGTGACAAATGGAAAGATCACTGGTAGAAGTGGCAGATCAAGAGAAATGATGGTAGATGGCTTAAGACAGTGGCATGGAGGAATATCATCAATGGAACTGATCCAGAACACCAAAGGGCAAGATCTGTGGAGATGCAAAAACGCCTACGCCAGCTGGCAAGGCACTTGATGATGATGATATCACCCTGGTGGAAAGTTCTGGTTGTTCGTACACTTCTAGACATTAGTCTTGTTCCAGAATTTGAGTGTTGCGTGCATATCCGTTTTACAAATTTGACTTGTATGCAAATATTTGGTTCCTTGCCTCTAAGGCAGATAGTCCGACTTCGAAGGAAGCGCCCAATTTGTCAACTCTTACCACATGATTGTCGGGGAGGCCATGAGTCTGTTCTTGTTTTACCCACAATGGGGTGATAGAACGCACACGGTGACGCGTTTCGCAGGATTTCAACTGGTACCCATTTACGGCCTGTAAGTCAAGGTCATGTTTGGAAGAAAAAAATCTGGCACCGTGTGTGATTGAACCCTCGACCTTCAAATCTGCTGGCGAGTGTTCTGGCCGCTACACCACGGCAGCTCCCACTCGGGCAAGTGAGTGCTGTTATCTTCACATGTTTGAAGAATGATCCTTGCTTGACACCTGTTTTCACTAATGGACAAGTGGATCTAGGTCGTTTGCAACTGTCCTTGTTATGTTTGCAATGTTTTGTTGTTTTCTTGGAATGATTTGTTGTTTTAATTTACATGCATTAAGTTTTGTGTCCAAAAGTGAATAAAACTATTCTTTTCATGTTTATTATGTTGATATTAGTTACATGTTCTGTTAATTTATTGAATATGTGTGTGCTTTGATACAGGATGCGTATATATGTGTGTGCGCGCTGGCCTGGGCATGTGGGTGTAAACAAAAAGAGTTTGCGAGAACAGAAAGCTCACAATTAAAACAAAAACTCTTGTCTGTCAGGCTTACGTTCTCTGCACTCTGCTTTATGAGTGTGAAACTTGGTCAACCTATTCGTACCATAAGAAACGGCTAAACAGCTTTCATATGCGATGCCTAAGAAGAATACTTGACATTAAATGGTAGGACAAGATCACAAACACTGAGGTACTAGAAAAAGCAGGCATTGCAACAGTCTTCTCAATGATCAGTCTACAAAGGCTCAGGTGGCTGGATCATACATGAAGGATGGCAGAGTCCCTAAGAACATCCTCTGTGGTGAATTAAAGGCAGGTAGGAGATGTCGAGGCTGACTTCTTCTACGATATAAAGATGTGTGCAAATGAGTTATGATACGGTATTGAGGTGGACTCGGAACAAAATGCCATGGGACGTGTTGTGTGGAAATGACACACTAGAAAGAATAAGAATGAAGGAAGAAATTATTGCAGAAAAGGTGAGAGCTGAATGTCAGAGGAGAAATAAACTAACGACAAATGTTGACAACAACAGTCCCGAAATCACATACTATAATTGTGGAAGACTTTTCATAACGTGGGCTGGTCTTGCTCGTTCCAGGAATGGTGAAAATTATATATATATACACACACACAACACACATAATATATGTGAATATATATAGACACACACATATATAATGTAAACTTGAGGTAATTACTGTGTTATTACTGCCAATATTCCCCCACTGGCCTGTTCTGCTCCACTTGGTGGTGAACTGATGTACGACAAGCTAGATGAGGGCCCTCTGGGAGCGAGTTAACATTGCGGAAACGCAAATAGATCATTACGGTCTGAGG